CCATCCAACTATTCTAATCATATTTTCCTGCACTTGGCCTCTGGCCTTGTATGTCTTGACATAGTAAATCTCCTTCTTAAATGTTACGAGGGTTTCTGCCTCTAACATCCTTGCAAGCAGTATGTTCCAGATTCCCACTATCCTCTGAGTAAAAAAGATTTTCCTCACGTGTCCTCTTAACCTTCTGCCCCTTACTTTAAATCTGTGCCCCTGGGTAAATGACTCTTCCACCAAGGGGCAAAGTTTCATCCTGTCTGACCTAACTATGCTCCTCATAATTTTATACATCGTAACCTCCCATGTTCTAAGGAAAATAATCCCAGTCTATCCAATATCTTATTGTAACCAAAAGTCTCCAGACCAAGCAACATCCTCTGCACCCTTTTCAGTGCTATAACATCGCTCCTATAATGAGGTTTTCAGAACTGCACAAAATATTCTAGCTGTGGCCCACCAATGTTTTATACAGTTCCAACATAACCTCCCTCCTCTTAAACGCTTATGCCTCGATTAATAAAAGCAAATATACCAAATGTCTTCTTAACCACTTTAACCACATGTCCCGATCTCTTAAGGGACCAGTATACATGCACAGCAAGGTCCCTGCGATATTTCATCATGTATTCCCTTGCCTTGTTTATTCTACCCAAATGCGTCACCTCACATTTATCCGGATTGAATTCCATTTGCCACTGATCAGCTGATTGGACCAACCTTTCTATATCCTCCCATAGTCCAAGATTATCCATCTCACTATAATGTTTTGGGGATCAGTTTAGAATCCCACCATGGCGGATGGTGGAATTTGAATTCTATAAATATCTGGAATTAAGAATCCATGAAACCACCATTGTTTGTTAAAAAAACTTATCTGGGTTCACCAATATTCTTAGGAGGTCTGGCCTACTTATGACTTCAGACTGACAGCAATGTGGTTGCTCTTAACTGGCAATAAACGTGCAGCCAGAAACATGCACATCCCATGAATTCATTTAAAAAAAAACATGCATTGCTTCCTACAATAAATGGGGTAAAATGGCTGGTTTTAAATTCAACACCCAATGTAAAACCTCAGGTGCATGGCTGAAAACCTTGCAAGATTGATCTGGGCAGTTCAAAGCACAGCTCACAAAGAAATGTACAAAGTCTGTTGAGGAAGTGAGGCTTACAAAAGAATAATGCACTGATCTGCACTTCTCCTATGTAAATCCCCAAGCACTTAAGATGCATCTCAGTTCTGTACGCAAGCTCAACCAGCCAGACGGACATCTGTACTTTTGCTGTGATTCGTATGATATGCCACAGATCCTGAATACAGTTAAAACTTGTCTCACCTTGCTACGATTGAAAATGACAAATAAGTCACATTGTTGAAGGGCAAAATGCTGACATAATCTTCCATTTTAAACAGCACCACTTTTGGTGGAGTTTTGCAAAGATTCAAAATAAGACAGGGGTGGCTGGATATGACATGACCTTCCGTCTCACCCCAAAGCATGTGTTTTCAGCAGGTGGGCACGTAATATAGGGCAATCATCCCCACTAAACCTGGGGGGTGGGGGGAAGGGAGGAAGGGGTGGGGGGGTGATTAAAATTGTTGACCCTCCCAATAAATGCAAGGAAATAATTAAGGGTTGAGCTTGTGAGAAGCTGATGAAACAGTGTCGATACCAAAATACAGCAGACGTGGGCAGCTGGTCAGACTGTGCTTGTAAAGAAGCTTAAAAAACGGTAGGAGAAAACAGTATACTACGTTCAGGAAATGCACTTTGCACATCTGGGGCATCCCCCTAGCTGAACATAGATTAGTACTCTCCTCGCATTCGCCTGTTTTGAAACACCCACGAGCCTTACCCTCCTGAAGCTTTCAAAATTCTCCCTAAGCCAATATCCCAGCACGCTCTGGGGTCCTTCATGGACCTGCTGCAGTGCTGGCAGAGCCCAGTGCAGAACTAGTAGCACTGCTGCAGCACAGTCAATCAGGTTAGCTGGCAGCTTCCGAGGGCCAGATCTCCACTGAAAGTGGAGGAGCTCCTTCGCTCTATGGTTGTAGGGGCAGGTTCCTTTCTAGTCCGTGGCTCACTGCCGACTTCACTTCCAGCAGTTAGCAGCCTGCCTGCACCCCTCCCCCAAAAGTTCCCGCCTCCCTCCATTCTTCCTGCAATTTCCACTGCTCCTCCCTCCTGTAATTTCCAATGAGAGGATCAAGTTATCACTTCTGATACTGCCCCACATTATGGGTATCATTCAAAATACTTGGCAAAACATATTGACAAACTCACCAACATATTAGTAAAGTTAAGTCACATGGGATTCAGAGTGTGCTTGCCAACAGGATACATAACTAGCTTAATAGCAGACAGTGGTGGTGGAGGGTTGCTTTTCAGACTGTAACCAGGCTTGTAACCAGTGATGTTCCACAGGGATCGGTTCTGGGCCCTCTTTTATTTGTCATTGATATAAATGATTTGGATGAGAATATAGAAGGCATAGTTAGTAAGTTTGTGGATGACACCAAAATTGGACAGTGAAGAAGGTTTTCTGAGATTACAAGGGGATCTTGATCAAATGGGTTAATGAGCTGAGAAATGGCAGATGGAGTTCAGTCTGGATAAAAGTGAGGTACTGCATTTTGGTACAACAAACAAGGGTAAGGGCTTATACAATTAATGATGGGGCCTTTTGTAGTGTTGTAGAAAAGAGGGGCCTAGAGGTTCAGGTACATAATTCTTTGAAGTCTGTGTCGTCACATATAGACAGGGTGGTTGCAAAAGCATCTAGCACACTTGCCTTCATTGCTCAGTCCTTTCAATATGGGCGCTGGGAAGTCTTGATGTTGGACAGGACATTGGTGAGGCCTCTTCTGGAATACTGCGTCCATTTCTGGTCGCACAGTTATAGAAAGGATATTATTAAGCTGGGGAAGGTTCAGATGAGACTTACAAGGTTGTTGCTAGGTACAGAAGGTTTGAGTTATAAAGATAGGCTGGGACTTTTTTCACTGGAGCATAGGAGGTTGAGAAGTGACCTTATAAAGCTTTATAAAATAATGATGGGTACAGATAGAGTGAATGGTGCTTGCCTTTTCCCTAAGGTGACAGATTTCAAGACGAGAGGCCACATTAAGATGAGAGGAGAGAGATTTTAAAAAAGATATAAGGGGTAAACAGAGGTTGTTTCATGCATGGCATGAACCTCCTAAGGAAGTGGTGGATGAGGGTACAATGACAATGTTTAAAAGACAATTGGATAACTACATGAGTAGGAAGGGTTTGGAAGGATATGGGCCAGGAGCAGGCAGGTGGGACTAGTTTAGGTTGGGATTACATTCAGCATGGAACGGAAGGTCTGTTTCCATTCTATATGGCTACACACACACACACACTTGTGCACACAAAAACCCAACCACTCTTACCCGAGTAAGCAGGAAAACTGTCAACTCACAAAATACCAAAGGCCTACACCATGCCCTACACCATATGCTCATACTTAATACTATCATCTTTTATGTGGAAACTTGTCAACTGCCTTCTAGAAATCCAAATCCACTACATCAATAGACTTCTCTTTATTCAAAGTACATATTACTCCTTGAAAAAATTCTAATATATTGGTTAACCATGATTTCCATTTCACAAAACCATGCTGACTGTTCCCAATTACCCTGATTGATGACTGTTTCAAACAGTTTCTCCACAAAAGAGGTCAAGCTAACTGGTCTGTAGTTTGCTGTTTTCTGCCTCCCTCCCTTCATGAATGGAAAGGCTAAGTTTGCTATTTTCCAGTCTGATAGAACCTTCCAGAATCTTCAGGAAAATTTCAGGACTTGTCAACCAGGAGCTCCATCAGTTTGCTCAGAACTACTTCCTCAGGCATTATAATTTCACCAAGTTCCTTGCTTCCTTCAAAATTCTAATTTACAGGTACTACTGAGATGTTTTTGTATCCTCTATGGTTAGAGCAGAAGTAAAATATTTATGTATTATATCCGTCATTTGTCATCTATGATTAATTCCCTGTTCTTGCCATCTAAAGGACAAACAGTCACTTTATTTACTTGCTCTTTTTTAAAATCTATAGAAACTCTTGCTATGTGGTTTTTTATAACTTACTAGCTTCCTCTCACACTCTAATTTCTTTCTCTGGATTAACTTTCAGTTTTTCTTCAGTGATCCTTATATTCTGAGCAACGATTTGACCTGCCTATAAGGTACAATCATATGCTTTTTTCCTTATGTTTGATTCTTTCCTGAATTTCTTTCGTTAACCACAGATAGTGAGTCCTCCCTGTGGAACTTCTCTTTGTGTAGAAATGCACTTATTTTGTGTATTCATTCACAACAAACATTTGGATGCTTCCAGTGTTCTAAACTGTCAATTTTACCAAAGATTCCCGAGTAACAAAGCTGCTTATGTTGCACATTTCAGACAGAAAGCCATGGAGATTTTGCTTTGGAGGAGAATGGGATTTGATTTTTCTGTTTTATTCTCATTACATTTGGCTGCAATCCTTCATTTCTCTAAAGACCATAATTAATTAGAAGAACAAGTATTCTTCCCAGTACCATTACTGCAGTTCTATATTGTTCATAAGTAAAACCACATACCATTGCAAGGTTCCATTGCTCACAAAAATAGCATGCAAATTCCACACCATAGGTACAATTTTTCACAACATATTAGGAATAAAGAAAATTTGCAATATAAATCATAATCAAGGGGTTAACAGAGGGAAAATGTGAAGTACAAAACCAAGTCAGAAGTCACACGGCATCACGTGATAGTCCAACAGGTTTATTTGACATCAAAAGCTTTCGGAGCACTGCTCCTTCATGAGATGAAGTCACTCCAAAAGCTTGTAACTTCAAATAAACCTGTTGGACTATAACCTGGTGTCATGCAACTTCTGACTTTGTCCACCCCTGCCCAACACCAGCACCTCCATTGTATGAAACAAGAGCACAGATATGCCCAGGTCAGCCCAAGTATAGACAACTCACCTCCTTGTTGAGTTTTAACCTGTATTTCAGGTGAATGTGGTCCATCCCCAACAGAAGTGAAAGCCAGCACACGGATGGTATAAGTAGTCTCTGGAGTCAGGTTTGCAATTGTTGTCAGCATACTGTCATCTACATTGTGCTTCTGCCAGTTGTTAATATGCTGTTGTGGATCCATAGTGTAATAAACTCTGTATCCACGGATTTGACCATTTGCCTCCTCTGGCTCCTCCCATTGAATTAACATGGTAGTAGTGCTCAACATGCGGGCTTGCACAGAGCGAGGTGGGCTGGAAGGGGCCTGCTCACCTGTTCGTGTTTCTACCGGTTCACTTGGTGGCCCTTGCCCAATATTGTTCACTGCAATGACTCTGAACTCATAATCCGAGTAAGGGCTTAGTCCTCCAACACTGTATCGTGTTGTAGCCACCCCATCAATCTCTTGAAATGGTCCATCTGAATGCTTGGGCTTGTGTTGTACAATATAGTGAGCCACAGGCTCTGGATTTCCTGAATCCCAAGTCAATGTGACACTTGTTGCTGTAGTTTCAGTTACAACAGGGGTGCCTGGGGGTTTTGGCAAAGCTGTAGATAAAAGCATGGTATATGCAAAAGTTTAGATTAATCTGCAGATGTGTTAATATTTTAATACATACAATTTAATAGCATTTGCCTACACTTTATTATAAAATGAATTCACTGATGTTCGAAGTTTAATCCCGGAAGTAAACACCCAAAGATCCATTACAGCATATTTGCCTTATTAGATGATTTAGCAACATTTAATTGGAATATACGAGAAACTGGAACATGCTACATGGATATTGGTTTAATTAGCCGTGACCCCTGATTAAACTCAGAGGTCCAAAGATTCTATCTACTGCAGGTTAAAAGTGCAGTTCCAATAAATTCTATTTATTTTATGACTTTTGTTTAAGAGTTTCATATGTGACAGTGCAAAAATTAGACACAATGTAATCAAAGTAAAGCTTACTTCCCACCTGTGATTTTAAAAAGTAATTGTGAATCACCTTTAACTGTGACCTCGGAAAATGCTTCTATGACTCCAAGCGTTGACATGGCAACACAGGTATAATTTGCAGACTCTCTGACGTTGTTGAGCTCCAGGACATTTCGTCCAATTGGCATGTCATCTTCAGGAGTCAGATCTTCTGCTCCAAGCATCCATTTCACGTAAGGCATTGGGGATCCCACAGCGACACAAGTGATATTTACACTTCCACCAGGCATGATCTCGTGGCTTGTTGGAGGAATAGAAAACCTCGGTGGGACACGACGAACTGGAACAAAACACAAAAAGGTAATAACATGTACAAAAAGAGCACTTTGTCTACATACTTTTTATGCTACATGCACTCTACAGACACTTGTCTCAACATAGATCTACATTACATATGTGACATTAAACACAAGCCAATAAAAAAACTAATTATTACTAATAGAATTTTTCAATTATGTTTGCATCAGTTCTAATCTTACATAAGTTTAGATCAAACCTATCAGGTTCCCACATTCGACTGAACTACAGACTAACAATACACAAACACCATGCAGAAAATATATTAATAAATATGCACAGAACTGGAGGATTGACAGCATGCTTGAGTTGAGTACAAAATCAACTTCAATGCTGCGTACTTCCAGTTGATGTGAGTAAATGTGCTTGAACACATTATCACATCAGAGCCCTGGTACACGTCATCTACAGTACATTGAAAGTGCAACTCGATTGCTTTCAGACTCAAAGTGGATGCAGATTCAAGACCTCACACTAACATGTAAACATATATGCACATTAGAAAAACAAGGCAAAGCCTGGTACTTCAACTGGGTCTGGTCATGCAAGCAAGCATGTGGCTGAATGGTATATATATACACCACCATGCTGAAGTCAATTGGGAAGGGGGTGGGGAAAACATTAAATAAATAAAACAAATTGAAAAGCAAAACAAAGTCAAAGTCAAAAATATAAGGGAGAATTGGGGGGTGTTGGGAGAGGAGAAGAGGAAGAGTGGAAGAGGAAGGGACTGAGCAGGGGCATATTAGGATATGCTAGTACTGTATTGTTGTACCTTAAATCTAATGTAGGAAGAGATAGGACCAAGAAGCAAGGTTTTGCTAACAGCATTCAATATGGGCCAAGCATTCTCATTAAGCAAAAGCTGGAGCAAGTTACTGAACACATTAGGGTTATTTGCAATCAGTGTTACTGCAAATAAGTCATGTTGGCAATTAAAACATATAACACACAAGCATATTGATGAGACTGGACAACATACAGGGAACACGAGACTGAAAGTTTAAGAAAGCATTATAATCAGTGTTCCTGCATAGTATGTCGAATATGTTTTGGTCAAATGCCTGTGTCATTACTCTAAACTTAGTTACATTTGCAACATTGTAGATTGAATCTGCTTTAGAGCTCACTAGCATAGGCCAAGATGAAGGCTCAAACCAGATAAAATATTTGAAAAGAAGCATTTGCACGTAAATGTGTAACTAAATATCAATGATAGTCCTTTCCCCAGATTGATTTTGCAATGTATAAGAGGCTGTTTTTTCAGAAAAAATGCTGCAAGGTTTTTCTTTTTGCAGTGACCCATTATGACCTTGTGAGCAATGATGATTGGTAGCATGGCTAAAAACGGAGCAAGCAATTTTTAAGAGCAGACGGTACAAATAAAAAGCAGAAAGCAGTGAATATTAATTGAGAATTTGCAGGACAAGATGATATAATTGTTTTCTAGAGAAAACAGAAACCGAATGATAAGGCCTATTTAATCATGCTTTTGAAAGCTTCGTAATAAATAGCACAACACTCTGAATTTAGTGGCTTTCTATGAGCAACAGGCATCAGTGAGAATAACAGAGCAGGAACACTGACTAGTTTAGCAGGCCACAGCTTGCCATGCATCCCAATGGACATTCTCCTCCAACATGCACCACTCTCTGATCCAATTAGCTCACAAGCACCAGCAGCCATGACCAGAGCATTAGTTAAGACATAACATTAATCAAAGGCCACAATGCAGCTACATTCATTTCAGATTTTTTTCTGGTTATTTCAATCAATATTTCTTAAGGTGGGTAAAAAGTAAAAAACACACCAACCTTCTCGCAGCTCTGAGGGATGTAGGGGGTTTGATGCAGAACACAATGAAATGAGGAAAGGAGAAAAACAAGGGAAACACAGAGAGAGTAAAAAGGCCGTATCAAGGCTTTCAACTGCTACTAGTACATTTTATCTAGCTCTGTTTAAGCCTCCCTACCTCAACTCCCAAAAGCATCATTTGTTTGATGTTAAGATGGTGTCAAGAGCTACAACTAGCATCATTTTGAAATTTTCAGTCTATTTGATGAGACAAATTGTTCATCCTCCCTAATACTATAGAGATTTTATGTCATTATCTAGAAATCAAGATCACTTGACTTTCTGGATTGTTTGCAATCATAAAGCCCTCCAATGTTAAAGACAGAACAAGAAATAAAGACAGCGGAGAAAGATTCCAAGAAGAACCTAATTTTAGCCGAGGAGCACCTACACTGCAGTAATGAGTTCAAGGCTGATAAATTCAGACTGATATTTTGTTTTCTTTTGCTTTGTAATTTCAAAAAATAGCATTTTTGTCATCTCAAACAACATTTAATCACATCGACACAAAATTTTGAGAAGATTCATTGTGGTCATTTTATTGGAATTAACACACTTAAATGGAGTGAGGTGATCAGAACAGACTTGCATTGACAGTTTTGAAAACCACAATCTGACTTTGCATTCTGATTTCAGAGTCTTGAAACAATTCAGACTGTGAAGAATACAGCTTTCAAACCCAGTTCATTACTGGAGTGGCAGGGATTTGTAGGTTTCTCAATAATATACAAAAAAATGAAAAAAAAACAGAATTGTGCTCTGCTCATTTTTATTTACAAAGGCAGTGTTTACACACTTATTCTCTCCACTCCTCGCACGTCAGGATTCAAGTGCATATATCCACATACCCCAGTGTGTGGAGTTTCTTGCTGCTGATTAGTAGCACACCAAGCAATCAAGTCATGACAAAGTTAAATGAAACAAAACTACCATTAAAAAACATAAAGCACAAAGTTAAATCAAGGCAAAAATAAAAGAAGTTAAAATGTAAAAGTAACATACTTACAAACCCATCTCTCAGGATAGGTAGGGCTCAAGCGTGCTGTTTTTTCTTTAAAAATCATTGTACCTTCTAATTGCATAAGATATTTTGTCACTAATATGCCAGCTAGAGTAGATCCTTCTGTTCCCTAGTGCAGTAACTGTTTACATTTAGGTATGTTCCTAATGCCCTGAGTCTTTCTGAATAGTGGATGCCACGGTTTTGTTTCTCCTACCTCTCACATATAGATTGGCAGGAGCAGAATAACGTGTACCAGCACTGTTGGTTGCCACACACTCATATTTTCCTTGGTCTGATTCCTCACTGTTCTCTATTTGGAGGGCACCTGTATGGGAGAGAAAAAAGAAAGTGCGCAGAAAACAGTTAGAAAATGTCTCATCATTTTAGCTCATATATTCATTTTTTTTTCCCAAATCCTTTCAACATCATGAAAGGACTGGTCTGCGAAGCTCCATTCAGCGTCGAGTCATTGCTTTGCTAGGGTGAACAGACAGAGTGGATGTGATGGGTAAGTTAGTGAAAGACGGATTTCACACCATTAAAACCAGCGAGAGAGATCTATTATTTATTTTATTTATTTCACAACGAAATCCTGCCCTGGGAAATTCACTGGTCAAAGGATGGGCGAGGTTGCTTCAAAGGAGCATGGCCTTTGGGTAAAATGAAAGAGTTAACATTAAAAAGTCACCACAAAGAGTCGGAAATGTCGAAAAAGGCAGACACATTCTCAAGAAACATTTTCTTCAGTCAAAAAGGTGCAGCAAAAACACAAAAAGCTGCGCAAAGTGAAAAAAAAAGAATTTTGGTTAGTTAGGCATAATCTCTCAAAATACTTTTCAAAAGACCTCTTAAAAAGTAACTTTTGCTATACATGCAACCTTGTAGGACATAAACAATTATTGTGCAACTTACAATCTTTCAGACCCTTTTGCTGAAAAATAAAAATACATAAGAGTAAATTGGATCAGTAAAGAAAAAATTCACACTTTGTCTCATTGTAAAATGGCGGACCAAGCCAATTGGAAAGAACAACCAACCTCTGCCGCGGGACACATTAGGGCCCCCAAGACACGAAAAAATCCACAAGTGGGATTAGTATTTTAGTGTCTGCCCACAAAATGCAAGAAAAAAAATCCAAAATTATTATCTGTGTTTGCACAATGTGTTAAAAAGGAGGAAAAAAAAGTAGAGGTACCATCTTCACCAACGCCTCAAAACGTTCACTGGGTGCTTCCGGCCTGCGAGTCTTGAAGAAGGAGAGTCGCTTGAAAAACTCGAAATGCGCAAATCCGTGAAAAAGTTTTGGAAGAGAAAAAAAAGTGTAACTGGATAAGGAAAGTTTGAAAAGTGCTGGTTTGAAGAAGGGAAAAAGAAAAAGTGAAGAAAAATGACAAAACTTGGTCCTTGGGGGGAGGGTAAAAAGCTGACGAAAAAATAATTATTCAAGTTTTTCTGCATCTTTTTGCAGGTGCTCCACAGACCTTATGGTCAAGATCAAGAACAGCTATGCAGGTCACGTTGAGAAAGGGAAGGTTGGAGGTAGGGGGTGGGGGGAGTTTAACCTGAGTTTCTAGTCATATAAAAAAGAGGGACAAATGATACGCTGTGACTGGATATGGTCAAAGGACAATGATATGCAGTATTGAAGCATATCAGAAACAAAATCCTTTATACATCCAAAACTAAAAGAGTAGCAGACACAACAGGAACATCAATGAACAGAAAACAAACTGGACAAAGCAAAACAGGAAATAATGGACATCTTTACATGACAAACATGAGAGATATGAAAGGACAGAAGAAATGAGGAGGATCAATTCTGTGAACGTTAGTTCAGCACTCTTACCTCGTATTGGTGTACCACCTGGGTGGATAATATGAATGCAAATAAGATTAGAAAGAAGAAGCATTAGTACGAGAAGAAGGAGGCTAGGGCTTTGGAAGATAAAATCAAATTAGATTTACAGAATAAAGGTCTAGAAAGAAGCTGAATTACTGTATTGGTAAACAGGATTATATTAGATAGTATTAGGTTAGTAAAGCAAGTTGTACCATAAGGGCAATGTCCACTGTTGGCGACATTGCCTCTGCCAGAGCAGAAATTGACTGTGAAGTCTTAGGAGATTGGTCTCAAGTGTTTGATAGCCTAAAACCTTTAACGTATTTAAAACTGTTTAAGCAAATATCGGAAACACTGTAGGCTTGGTGGATATAACTACTACAGTTTAGGTTGGTTTACGGCATCTACTCAACTATATCTAAAGTGAAGTTTGTGTATCAAGTCTTTAGACAGGTGTATCTTACTGTTGATAGCACTTTTTTTGTGGAAGTGTGTGCCACTACGGAGAGATCCAGTGACTACACTAACTGTTAGTAAAATGCATGCCATGCATTTTAATCTGAACATGGAATTAGTGGGGGTGAAGTGCGCTTCAGAACTAAGCACTTACCAAAGGATTCTGGAGATTTAACACGGAAAGAAGAAAGACAGCATAAAAATATTATTATATTCCTTATAATTTGGCACAAATTTTCAGAATTAAAGCTTTAAAACTATATCATCTATTTGACAGGTGAAAATTAATCTTAATTCACATTAACAGGTTAATTTACACAATTCTGCTGACAACAAGCAAAGAGGCAGTTAACAAGACGACTTAAACATCACAGGACAGGTCAAAGCTGAGAATCCTGGTAACACAGGTGATCAAACATCTCAGTATAGAAAAATATAGTTACTATTTTGAATGCAAACAGGTTCTTACAGACTACCAGTGGGCACTAGAAATGTTTAGCACGTCACTTAATAAATTTAGGATCAGATAAAGCTCAACTACCAGCTATAGCAAAAGAAGAAATTAGGGAAGGTGAATAAAGAATATTAAAGGCATTTTAAGGGAGGCCATGGTCAAAGATAGCAGAAAAAGCTAGAGTCTACATGAAAAGCAGGCTTCTGTAGATCCTGATATTTAGTCTGGAAGGCTTTACTGCATACACACTACTGTGGCTAAATAGAAAAATGCTTTAGGAGCAAAAACAAAATCAACTTTAGTCAGTCTCCAAAGATCTCATTGTATTCTAATGTATGGAAAAAAAGTACAGTACACTTTGTCAAAGAGAGAGGGAACAAAACAACTGTCTATTCTTGGTTAGGTTAAAAATGTAGAGAAGACAGAACAAAATACAGTTTTTTTCCCCCTTGGTTTTAGGTTTTTTAAGTTTAAAGATTGGTTTTAAATATTTTAAAACCATTTGGTTCTCCTTGCACTTCTGAATGAAGCCCAATGTTTTGAACTTAATCAGTAAAAAAAGGAAAAAATAAATTAAAAAGAGAAAATGGATCTGTTAAGTACTGCTAAAAGCAGTTAAAAAAATCATCAAAAATACAGTCACAGCAGTAAGCAATATGGAATTAACAGAAGCTGCACACACAGACACTGGAACAGGCTATGACAACATCACAGACATGAACAACACACCAAAGTACACATTGAGGATAGGAATCAAAAAATATTACCTAGAAAACAAATCTACCACGTGATAACAGTAACAAGACCCTACCTGACCGTAGCTGTTTGATGCGTCCATTAGTGCTTGTATCAACAGGTAAGAAGTCTTTGAACCAAGTAATTTCGGGATCGGGGTTACCGCTAGCTGCGCACAACATGGTGGCTGTGCGTGTTCGTTCTACCACCTTCAACTGAGGGCCCATGTCTATCGTGGGATAACCCACAGGAAGCTGATCCTCTGAAAGGACAGTAAGAGAAAGACACCCATGCCCAATTAATGATTGGTATCATGTACAAAACAAACTGCCAATGCACTGTGGTTTGTGTAGGACCACAAATCCAACTTAGATTTCAATACTATCAATTTATATACGGCACAGAGAATATTCCATGTATGAAGTACATGGGTGATGGGCTGATCATAAACAGGCAAGCCATCCCTAGCCCTGTGTATTCTTTGATAAGGATCACTGAAGAGTCCTTTAACATGCTGCAGGAATGAAAATTTGAGCATCTATGCAAAGACAACAAATCTGCTGTATGTGTGCTGTTTTACAAATAGAGTTGAAGTCTTGTATTGAGGAGTGTGACTGCAATAGATTACACAAGCTGGTGCTGTGCATAGAAAAATAAACAATTAAAAAGCTTTGCATTTCAATACGGCTGAACACATTGTTCAATGGTGTAACGGAAGAAAACATTACATTGCCCAGAATGATGCAGCTTAGACTTTCAGCACTTAAACAACTCAAACCGAATGAGTTTCACTTGTTTTTTTTTGCCATCTCCCAAATTCTCTGTTAATATACTTCTGTCCCTCTTTGTGAGCATGATGGCTAATCCCTCCTTATAGTGTCCATAATCTACATACTCGGCAGACTACACTGCACAAAAGGCTTGGTTCCATTTCTGTCCCCACCTCATTCTGCTCTTTTGATACAATTAATGAAGGACATCACTGGAGCTCACTCAGTTTCCAGTCCCTGCACCATTATTGGCGAAGCCCCTGAGGACCGATCTTTGGTCCTCAGTGTTTGGGATGTCAACTTAAAAGAAATTCCACATGTTGACAGATGATATCAACATCACTTCTCTCAATCCCTGTACTCTATCAAACCGTGTGCAGCCACAGTTAGATTGCCTGCTCAATATCTATTCTTGGATGTGCTGCAGTTCTTTTCCAGTGAACCCAAAGCTACCATCTCGAAGACAAGCATTGTAAGAACTGGTAACCTGATACATTTTCAAATCTCAAGATCACTAGACTTCAAAGAAAAAAAACGCATTGTATTAACACGATAAAAGAGTCGCATCATTCTAGCCAATATATTCAAGCACAACATTGTTTTTTTCTCAGTAATGATGAAGAGTATTTCAAAGTGGGGTAGTACAGACCTTATGTCTTTGCTCTAAGCAACAAATGCTACTTTAATTACTTACATTTTGAAATCCTGAAGGACTGACCTTGGAGAAAAATGATGAGATTTTAACTTGTGTCACATAAGACTTACTTAGAAGCATTCATGTGACCCGGTACTTGGCTCCACTCGTGTAGTTTTATGCAATGATAAAATTGCAAAGATCCATTTTCTTTCACTGTAATATTTACACATATATAGAACAATTTTTCATGCTAAATGGGTTAATTGTTTACAAAAGCCTTTTCTTAAAATAAGGGCAACTTAATTTAAGCCTTGCTTCTATTTCACAGATTTTCTTTGCCTTTAATTAAATCCTTAAATTTTACTAAGAAATAGTCCCTGGCACACACAAGCAGGCAGTAGGGCATCATATGAGCTTTTTTTAACCAGCAGGTTAATGTTGCTGAAGAAAATCACCTGAGATAAAGCACCATTGAGAAAATAAAATGAATTTAAGAGAGTCTAAAGAAGAGTCATAATGGACTTAAAATATTCACTGTTTTTTGTCTTTCTACAAATGTATACAGAGTCAATCAGTATGGAAACAGACCCTTCGGGCCAACTAGCCCATGCCGACCATGTTCCCAAACTAAGTCATCCCACCTGCCTGCATTCGGCCCGTATCCCTCCAAACGCTTCCTATTCATGCTAGCAAATGTTGGCAAAACTAAAGAACTGATCATTGACTTCAGTAAGAAAGGAAGAGAACACACCCCCATCTACATCAACGGAGCACAGGTTGACAGGGTTGAGACCATTAAGTTCCTAGGAGTGACGATAACTGACAACCTTCCAGAACTTCCCATGTAGATGTGATGGTCAAGAAGGCACAACAAAGTCTCATGTTCCTCAGACAGCTCAGGAAATTTAAGGACCCTAGCCAACTCTTATAGATACACCATAGAAAGCATACTGTCTGGGTCCATAATGGCCTGCTATGGTAACTGCTCTGTCCAGGACCGTAAGAAACTACAGAAGCTGGTGTGCACAGCCCAGACCATCACAGAAGACAACCTCTCATCCATGCACTCCATTTACATGTCTTGTTGCCACAGAAAGGCTGCCAACATCATCAAAGACATATCCCAGCCCAGTAATGCTCTCTTACAACTTCTTCTGCCAGGCAGAAGTCTCAACACACGCACCTGCAGGTTCTACCCTGGTGTTATTAGACTGATGAATGGACTCTGGAATTTCAAATAATGCTGATCTTGCCTAGCACATATGCCTTATGTAACCAATATGCCTTACACTGTCCTAATTTTTATTTCACCCTACGATTTGTATGTCCTTGCTTACTACGATCTGCCCATACTGCGTGCAAACAAAGCTTTTCACTGTACTTAGGTATATGTGACAATAAATAAATAAATCAATCAATCACTTGATACTGAAAGCTCTTAGGTCACCAATGCTCCAATTTTCCTCCCCAATACAAGCTAACTCTGACCATTATTTTTGGTACTAGGTTTTTGGTAGCCTTTGGAATCTTGAAGTAAAAGTGAGAAGGAAGATACTAAAAGACACAAAACACAATGTTCCTGATAAATTTCAGCAAATGAATGATTGGAAATTAGCTGTTAAATTCTGGTTAAACCTTGACTAAAGACATGAGAAACTTCAAACCCATTTTCAGAAAAATCATTTGAGATGAATCATGGGATTTCGGTGGCCAGATTTCACAATTGCAAGATGACATACTTCACCATAAAATTGGGGTGTAATACTTAAATCTACACAGACGATATAGCACAGAAGATACCTGTAACAGTGTGCCATATCTAAATTTTTAAGTGTAGCAAGCGCTTTTGACAAATTTTCCACAAAATGCATTTCAAATTTGGTATTGTACACAAATTTTCTATCGACACAGACAGATGATAATTTGATAACTGCATATAAATCTTGACAATATCACAGTGTAAAGAGAAAAACAGAAACGAGGCTCTTCAACTGCCTTGCCTGGCAAAGAAGTATCTTTCAAAACATATCTTCAACATAAATTTGCATTAATGAAAGGATAATTAAAAAGTCAAGAGACTCTCAGTTATTTTAATACTAAAGTACTGACATTTTAATGGATGTCTTTTCAAAAATCATTGTCAATAGATCAAAAAGTTCAGCACATGGAAATTTCATCATTTCCATAAACTTATCCTGGCTAAACACAACACAAATATATTCTGCAGAAGCAGCAGCAGTTTCGACAAGGGTCCGTTCAATTCACTAGGTTGTACTATGAAGTCTTCAATGTTTGATGCTTTAACGTATTTATAGGAAATAAATAACATGATATGAGAATGTTTGGACAGGAGTTGGCCATTCAGGCTTTAAGGCCCTACTACCATTCAACTGGGTAATGGCTGATCGGATGACAATGAATCACGTGGAACATGAAATTGCACATTTCAATCACTATGTTGTGCAAGTAAGTCTGCCTCAGTTTTAGTACAGAATAGGTGAGCAAGTTAGTGTCCAGGGTTTGTCTCTGCACTGGAAAGAGGAAGTGTCAAAAACATCTCTTGCTCCCCACTGTTTTTGAATGATACCTCTTAGAGATTTAATAAGAGAGAACACCAGGGAAGGGACAACACAAGGCTTGATGCCTAAGTGCTAGAAATGTCCATCAATACTCACTGTTTTTGTAATTCAGTAATCCAGAAGTCTGGGCTAATATTCTGAGGATATGAGATTGAATCCCATCACATGAGATGGTGATAATTGAATTCAATAAAAATCTGCAAATAAAAATGGACTAATGGTGACCATGTAACCATTGTCTATTGTTGAAAAACCCACCTGGTTTGTGAATATCCTTCAGGAAACTAAATTTGCCATCTTTACCTGGTCTGGCCGACATATAACTTCATACAAGCAGCAATCTGCTTGATTCTTAACTGCATTTTGAAATGGTTAAGCAAGCCACACGGTGCAAAAGTAATTAGGGATGTGTAACAATTGCTAGCCTTGCCAATGGTGTTCACATTTCATGAAAGAATGAATAAAAGAAAAACTATCAGCACTTTTACACTTAACAAGTATCCTAAATACAGAGAAACAGGAACAGCCATTCAGACTTTCTTATCCATTAAATGAGATCCTAATTCTACTAACACATTGACTGCATAACCCTTAACAACTTTGGCCAGTGGAAAAAAACTATTAATCTCAGATTTTCAATTTAGAACATTAAATGTAAAGAATCTACTGCTTTGTACATACCATACAATCAACCCCTGAGCTATTGCCTCTCCCATTGAACATTCAGAGCTGTTCAGAAAAACAATTAGCATGGCTTGGAAAGTGGATACTGACAGCATCTCATGGGACAAGTAACTATTTGGGTCCTTCATATAGTTGTTTGCTCAGAACTCAGCAGCTTTCTGTTGCAGAGTACTACTGATAATGTGAAGGCTTCCCCTTTGCTATTGACAAAAGTCTATCAAAGCGATACAACCTGAAGGTAATGATGACTATTCAGTGACTATCATTTTGAAAGCTACATTTGCAGATATTCCTTAGTGCATTCTTTGCCCTTGAGGTGACAAACGTCTGCCAGGAAATGAAATATTTTCCATTTGAGCTGCTGCGAATCAGTGTTGAACATGTCAGATGTAACAAAGCCAGGCGTTGAACAGGATTCACTCTACCCTACTCCAACTGTATGTTACAAGAAAAATAACGAACTGAATCACTTTCTGTGATAAAAAGAACTTTAAAAAGAATTTTAAAAAGGGCAGAGAAACAGGCAATTTTGGGTTTGATAAATGTGGAGTCAGAAAAATTGAGAAAGGAAGGATATCCTAGCCCTTCCTGA